GATACAATAATTCTTCTCTAAGAAGATTTCAGTCATTTTTAGTTCCGTCATTTTCAAATTATTACCTAGCTTCTCATGAAATTTCAATCACATTTCTGGAAATTCAGTAACGAAAAGAAATCAACATTATCAGAATAAAATATAGCTAATAATTTCAGAAGTAGCGACAAAAATGATTTTAAAATTCCTAATTTACCAATTTACATTAGTAATAATATGGATAAGTCATTTGATCAGGAAAACTTTCTTTTTTCTTCTCATACTAACAATGCATATAATCATTAAAAATATGCAGGAAAAAGCAAGTATAATATAATTGATTAGTAATTAAGTTAATTAAGTAAAAATTAGCATACAAAAAGACTGAAAATAATATAGTTAGAAAATGAATAACAAATAATACCAAATAATGATTTGGTATTATTTGTTAAAAATATTTAATATAAATATGAACGCTCCCTTCACACACATAAAAATCATAGCTGAGAAAGAGGAAAACGAGTTTGTTATATTTGCTGCCTCAATGAAATGATAAAAGTTTGAGCAAAATGATGAAAAGCTCGTCTTCAGGCTCATTCAGTTCAACAAATGTTTATATTCTTTCTTTCTTTCTTTGTTTTTTTTCTTTTTAAATAGAAAAAAGTTTAACGATCAATGATTTCAACCGATCACAGTATAATATTGATCCATTTCACACTATTGCTTTCTCCTAAATATATAATGCATGATTCCTTGCTTATTATTTTACATGATAAAATATTGATTGCTATAATTTCATTGAAGTAGAAAAATCGAATTAACCGGAGTAATCAATAATTAATAAAACTTTCATACCCACGAAGGATAATCTTTTTGCTCTGGCTTTATAGAATATTTATGATTAAAGTTAATTTATTTAACCTGAATTACATATTTCTTATAGAATCATTAATTTAACTTTTAATTTAATCATAAATCTTTTAGAAATTTACAAATTAAGTAATTTCATTGTTGTCAGTTGTGTCCAATTTCTTCCTTTTGCATCTTTCTTAATTTAATTCGGAAAGGAATAATGATATGACATTAAAATAAAACAAACAAATATCACACAAACGATAATGATTATCTAAATAATCTTACCTAGAAAAACAAAAAGTGAATAAAAAATAAAAGTTAAAAAAAAAATGAAAGTCAAAAAAGAGTGTTGAAGTGATGAAGAGAAAAACTCGGAAGAAAAATTTGTTGAAATATTAACAGATTGACTGAATTAAAAATACAATCAATAAATCAAATTTCAGTGCAGTAAAAGTACAGTAAAAAAAAGTGCCCGAAGTATTTTTGATCGACAAAAGGAAAAAGCCATACCGAAATATACCCAAATTAAGACTTTCTCTCTCTAAGGTAACAATGAAAATATTTGCATCAGAAGAGAAAATGTAGAAAATGTTTGTTGATTTTGCATCAGTAAACAAAGAAGTAAACAAACTTTATAATTAGTCAATGAAACACTGAAAATTGGTGAAGTTCGAGAAATTGCAGAAGCAGCAGTAAATTCGAGCAGTCAATCGTTCTCGGAACACTACCAATTGTTCATATCTCCTAAAAAAAGAAGCAAAAAGTTCTTCACACTGTAATTTACAGCATAATTAAGTTGAATTTACACAATTATTTCTGCTAAGCACTTCAGAAGTAAATTAAAATTGAAAAGTTGATCGTTTTTTTTAAATCTTTGAAATTTAAGCCAAAGCAATTCTGGTACTTTTGCAATTCTAGGTTTGTTTGTTTAGTTTTATTCTGAGTATCACAGCTGGGCTCTCAGAAGTGAAGTGCATATTGTTTTAATAGCAGTGGAAAGTTGAATAAATGAATGACATGTTTTTCAAAATTAATTAAGTTTCATCCGAAAATCGATTAGTTTTAAATATAATAGAGGGAATTAAGCCCTGATATACCAAATTAAATTTCATCCAAATTAAGACGATTTTATTTAAGGAGAAAGGAAAACGATTTGAATAGAATGAGCTTGAATTCCAACCAAATTAAGCACACTTTTAATTTAACAAAAAGAAGTAAAATTTTAATCGCTGTGATGAGTCAGTGCAAACTGCTTTTGAGTACTTGTAATTTTGTTTGTACTGCTTTGACGAAGAAGACCAAGAAGCACATAAGCGCATAAAATCATTTTTGATTACAAAAGGCAATTTCGATAGCATTGGAGCTGCAATTTGCTAATGATTATTTTTCTGCTTTTACCATTCTTTACATTTCATTTAGAAATGGAAATTATATTTTTTTCTAATTTTGATTTCTATATAAAATTCAATGTTATTTTAATCTCCTTTAGTCTTATCGTACTTAATTTAGATAATTAATCACTTTCATGAGCCAAAATATGATCTGCATATTTCATCGAAATAAATGAAAGTTGAGCAATATTCCAGCCGCAAAGACATAAACATTATGAACCACTTATATTCTAAGCTGTAGATCAAACTAAATTTCGATTGATGATTCGCCAATCGATTGTTGTTTAGTGGATTGGGATAATATATGTCATCGGTGGCAATTAGTAATCGTAATAATCATGGTAAATATTTTAATTATAGCCAGAGATATTAATTTTTATGAGTCTCATACTTTACATTATCAGTTTCCAAATTTAATTACTAGCCAAAATTTTCGTATATTTTTATAAGAAAAGCTGTCAAAAAAATTTAATAATGACCAAAAGCAGATAAGTCAGGCAATAATTCTGTATATTTTTAAGAAATTTTAGCTTTCAAATACAATTTTAATTTTTAAAATGAAAATTGAGAAAGTTGATTAATATTTTGAAGACTAAACGATACTTTCTATCATCTGATGAGTGATATATTTTTTTTTCTTATTAAAAAGCACAATTAGTATGAAAGAAATATTTTCGCATTACGTTAAATTACAATTTTTATTTTCGGAATGATGGATGAATGCTTCGTTGAGATTTTTGTTTGCAGTTGTAAGAAATGGTAAAGTCGAGAGATGTCAAGTTTTTTTCCGCCAAGTACGCATACACACGCACACACAGATACACTGTATATGACAAAACAAGTTTTTGCTTCTATTGAATTTGATGTTTGCAGGGCGGGGGAAGAGACAGGTAAGGTATGCTTTATGGGAGGATTTCGATGAAGTGGTAAAAGAGAGGTAATGGATAAAATGATAAGTATCCTCGGTTGAAATTCACCGAGACAACGAATTTTGCAGGCACTGTTAAACATGAATTAGTGTGACAATTTGAGCCAAATCTAGTCTTTGTAATTTTTAACAATTCCTTCCCTTACTTCTTGTAAACATCCTTCAGTCACTTCCATATCCTAATTATCTTAATGCTTGCTCATTTAAATAATCTATCACATCCATGTTAAGCCATAAAGTTTTGCCTTGACAATCGCTTGCCCTTTTTACAAATTTTGCCTGGGCAGAATTAATTAATTTACTTAGCAATTTGAGTTCATATCAAACAAATAAATATTGTCTTTCCTTTCATTCATATCATGCAATAGAAAGTCTTACAAAGTTTCGGTACCGAAAAATGATTTTTCTGATTACAAATTGATATCCTATTAATTGACAAAAATTGTAGCTATTTTATTTCAAATTAAATAATGGAAGATTCTGTTTAATCATGGACACTGCTGTTCTTTATCAGTAGGAAACTACCAGAAATATGATTATCAAAAGGTTAAATATGACAATATCAAACTTGTAGAGGAGAAATGGTGAAAATCCGACGTATGGATCAAAAATTTTGAGCATCTTGGTTTATGAAAAAATTTCACTCCTTTGAAAAAGTTATCTGAAATTCTATAATTATTATCATTTACATAATATGCTGAAAATTCCGGTTTGAATATCGTAAATTATACTATTATAGAAATTACTGTATTTCTTTCTACTTTGAGCTAAGATACAAAAAAGTGACAGTTCGTATTTTATTTTGAAACTTTCGAAAAAAATTTGCTCATTTTGCTTATTTCATAAAAACGCTATCAGCACGATCGATAAAATTATTTGTTAATCAAAAATGTAAAATTCATATTGCAAACGCTCATTTCTTCCATTTTATTTTTTTATCCTTTAATTTTTAGATAATACTAAATAAACATTTACTTAAAGTTATTATTATTTTCAGAAGATGGAAATTTTACCTTTTTAATTTTACATTTGATTTGCAACAAATTAATTGTAATGATTGCGTCACAAAAGTTACGGATAATTATTATTTATTTCCGCATGATTGTTGTATGCTGCAAATTACCATTCAACGATACATCTTTAAAATGTATTCCAAAGGTACAAAAAAAAATATTGATTTTCTAATTTGCAATTCGATATAAATGAATTTATTCTACAATAATTTACTGATTGCTTAAAATCCATTAATTTAGAATTAGTTATGAAATTTTAAAAATAATTATTTTTTCATTTTTTACTAAGTAGACAGCATGCGTATCAAAATTGCACCGTCTATACTTTAAACAGATTTTGCAAAATTAAGAAAAGGAAAAGAATCAATTAATTTTCTGAAATTTTCTTTTAGGCGATAACAATTACCGTTAATTATTCATTACTTTTTTATCATTTTAGCATTATTTGCCTTTATTATTTAGCAAAAAATTTAATTTTTCAAAGACGGACAAAACTTTTTCCTATCTTTTCATAAAATTTATATTTTCTTTCAGATTCAAAATCAATATATTCAAACGTACGACAATGTTAGCATAAGACATAAAATGATAAGACAACGAAGTATAGCAACACCGCAACAATTTTCATTTTCATTTAATCCTGCAAGTCAAATTCGCGGTCAATTCTCTTAAATGATTAATTAATTTCATAAATTCTATTTTGTTGATGTTTATTGATTACAATTTATACAGATTGAGAAATTATTTTAAAGTACATATTTATTTACGCAAACAAAAACAAAATGGATGTTTTAGGTGCAAGAGCATGCAATTTACCTCAACAAATAGGTACCGGTCCATATCGTATACCGCGATGGTACTATAATTCAGCTAGAATGCGATGTGAATTATTTTACTGGTCTGGTTGTTGTGCAAACGGAAATAATTTCCCATCAATTCATAACTGCCAAAAATTATGCGAAGGTTGCTATCTTTCAATGCTTCCATCCAATTTTTTTGTTAGCATTAATTTTTTCATTTCAAAAGCACTCTTACCGCAGCTACCACCAATCGTTTGGTTGAATAGTATGCAAACATAAAAATTTACTCAAATATCGCACAAATTTTCCCTAATTTGCTTTTTATTGAAGTATTCCATCATTATCATTTCTATAATTTTTTCTTCGTTTTTTTAAAGCTTACCTATAAAATATTTTGAACAATTACTTCTTATAGCTAAAAAAAATTTAGTCAGTTGAAGAAAAAATAAAAAAAAAATTGCACTTTTTTTTTATTTGCACCAAACATTTTTTTAAATTTGTTTGCACCAAATATTTTGCTTCACATTATGAGTATCAATACTCATATTGATACTTAACGTTGCATGCTCATAAGTAGGTTGCAGTTGACCCGTGCAAGCAAGATTTGGATCAGGGACATGGCAATGCTCGACAAACCCGATATTATTTCAATAAATATTCCAGAGCATGTGAGCAGTTCAACTATCGTGGTATTAACGGAAATCGGAACAATTTTGAATCCTTACAGCAATGCCAGCAGCAGTGTTCAGGTTTTCAAGAAGCAAAAACGTTACCTGCATGACAAAAAAAATTTTCCACAGCACTTTAAATAAAGTTTTGAATTTTTTCATATTTTATAATAAGAAATAATAAAAATTCTATTTGTCACAAATTCTATTTTATGATAATTGCACTTCATTAAGCATTTAAATCAAGTTTGTACTTTTTCTTTACAATTAGCTCTTCAATTTTTTTATTAAATTTTAAAATGCTTCATGTTATTGTACTAATTGCATATTTGTGATAAATGCATTTCATTAAATATCTAAATGAAGTTTGTGTTTTTATAGAAGTATTGGGTCCATGCGCATATGGTAGCAGCACACCTCAAAAACCTTGTTTTGATAACGGTGCTTGTGATGCCAATCAATTCTGTCATATTGGACTGTCTTTATTAACCACCGTTTGCTGCAATCGATCCCGTAAACTTAATAATAAAACTTTATTAATATCATTTTTATTTGAAACCAGAAATTTAGTTTAATTTTAAATCCAAGCAATATAAGTCTGAGATTGAATTATTCGTTTGCATAAAAGTATGATTATCCTTGATTATCCTTAATCTGAAATTGTAACTGACTCTATTTTAGCGGTAATAGATTTACCGCCGTAGTAGAGCATATTACTTTTTGTTGAATAGATGCACTGTTGATTGATACGGTTTGATCATTTTGACATTAATGGTTTTTTTCGAGAATAATCAGTAAATTAAAATTTTTTTCATATTTCAGCATCCGGAGATCGATGTCATCAGATGTTAAATATAGGTTTAGGGAATGCCTTTCTACGGCGATGGTACTTCAATGTTAATACAGAACATTGTGAACCATTCATTTATAGAGGCTTACAGGGCAACGAAAATAATTTTTTAAGTCAAAAAGACTGTCAAATGTCTTGTTTCGGTTAGTTTTGTCAATTTTTAAGCTCGATTATAAGTTTGCATAAAAATAAAGCCTAAGTTTTTGAGGAAGATATTCTCAAAAAAAAATCAATGTTTTTTTTTGAGAAAGTTAACTTTAAAAATTGTCTTTTTTAGTAAATCCATGTGCTGCCGGTGAGCCATATCAGATTCAAGGGAATATTATCCAGTGCTCACCGGCCAAACCATCAATATGTCCACCTGGACATTATTGTCACATTGGAGCTGAACTACAAACAACTGTTTGCTGTCCAAATCTTGGTTAAATTTCCTACTGCACTCTGTTTTTCTTTTCTTTTTTTTCCTTTTTTAAGTTCAAACAATAATTTCAGTAATGTTCTTTTAAATTAATAGGCGGTAACGCATGTGAGCAACAGATGGACCAAGGCCAAGGACATTATCAGTTACAGCGATGGTACTGGAATGTTGCGAATCAACGATGCATTCCTTTCGTTTATGCTGGCTTGAAAGGCACACAAAATAACTTTTTAAACCAAGAAACTTGCGAGAGAACTTGCCACAGTTAGGCTTTCTTAGTTTTAAATAGAGCAAAACTTATAAATTACTATTTAAACTATTTTCGTCTGCTTTTTCGTGTGCTTTCAAATTTCTTCTCAGAAAATGTGCGATACTTTTGTTTCGATTAAAACCAAATTTTTTGTCATAAACAATTAAAAACATCGAAAGAATCAATCAATCAATAGATCCATTTCCAAGTATTATACAAAAAAGATCCTTCTTACACAATCCTTTCAATGTATTTAAATTTGATAGAAGACGAACATTAAATGAGAAGCTTTTTGCAAGAGAAAAGGCAATATAAATAAATTCTTTGTTACATTTTAAAAAGATTCGAAATCAACCTCATCCAGAACTTACAGTATTCGAGAATCCGTGTGTGTCAGGTAAACCACAACAGGGAATGAATAATCGTCCGCTGAGTTGTAACTCAAACAACAATTGCGCAGCATCATATTGGTGTCATATTGGAGCAATACCACAAACAACAGTATGTTGTCCCGGCAGAGGTAATTCTTTTTTTTTTAAATTAATTTGAAATTTTTTTTTGGACATGGTGATAGTTAGCATAATGGGAATGGATTTCGGAACGAAATAGAATATACATGTTAGTTATCAAAATGAATTTTAACATAATGAGTTATAAGTGATAAACTCATCAAACAGTAATTAATATCCAAGCATTGCCGACTGCAAATTTGCTTTATTTATTGCACATATTCTTGCAGTAGACAAATCGATTGCATGTCAACTGTCACTTGCAATTGGTGATGGTGGAGCCAATCTTCAACGATGGTACTTTAATAGTAATATTCATCAATGTATGCCATTTACTTACGGCGGTTTACACGGGAACCAAAACAATTTCCTCACTCAACAACAGTGCGAGCAATCCTGTCCCGGTCAGTACAGTTTTCCCCTCTCCTATCATAAGAATAATTAAAGGCAAGTAAAAAATTTTAATGAATCCAAATTTAGGTGAAAAAAATGTAATGTTTGCACAATTTCAGTATTTGTAAATCCATGTGCTCTGGGTGAAGCGCAAATTGGACAGAGTGGGCGTCTACAATTATGCATTTCACATAATCAATGTGCTAATGGTTATTGGTGTCACATTGGCGCAGTCTCGCAAACAACTGTATGCTGTCCGGGAAGAGGTGTTTATTTTATTTTATTTTTTAAGATATTCAAAAAATTACAACTTTCCACACTTACAACTAAGAATTGAAATTAATAATTCTTAGATCAATATCAATTTCTGCATAAGTTTTTAAGTATTGAATTTTGTAGCACAGGGATATGCAGTTTGTTTGCAATCAATGACTGAAGGAAGGGGTGATGCAAGTTTACAACGATGGTACTATGATGTGAATACCAGGCAATGCCTACCATTTACTTATCACGGTTTAATGGGCAATCAAAATAACTTCATCAGTAAACAACAATGTCAACTGACTTGCCTTGGTCTTTTATCAATTTATTTATCAAAAATGAATTAAATAAAATTTTCTGCTTTACTGTTAATTAAACTTTATTGTAATACCATGTAATAGTGTTTTCATCCATAATTGTAAACTTAAAAATTTAAATTTATCACCAATCACAAATTACTTCCATGTGATTCATTTTTCAACTAAAAAATTGTAATTAATTTTCAGCTTATGTGAATGTCTGTCCACGAGGTGTTCCATTGCTGGAAATGAGCACCAATCAACCACGGCTTTGCACATTTGGTACAAATAGTTGTGGTCCAAACTATTGGTGTCATCTGGGTTTAGTACCAAATGAGTATCAATGTTGCCCTGGTGCGGAAACCAATCTTGCAGCATGCAAGATGCCATTTTCAACTGGTGTTAAAGGAGCACCTGCACCATCTGCAAACCGTTGGTACTACGATATAGCTACATTAACCTGCAAAATGTTCGAGTATAATGGGAGAAAAGGGAACCAAAATAATTTCATAACTGAAGCTGATTGCGCAGATACTTGCAAAGGTTTGCTCATCTCGAATTATGCATTTCTCTCAACAACGATAAATTTAGGCGATCCAAGCAAAATTTCGTTCCTTCTTTTGTATAACTGCTGCATATCAAATTTCAGTTTTTCTGAATCCATGTAATCGATCAATATCACTACCACCTCAGACTTGTTCCGGTTTACGGGAATGTCCCATTGGCACCTATTGCCATTATGGTTCAACTTCGGAAACCACAATTTGTTGTCCTTCTGGTACCATTTCCGGAATATCTAATAAAACTTCCTTCATTTTTAAAAATCATTTCAAAATTTTCGAGGCAAATTTAAAGAAAGTGCAAATCCTTTCGGCTTCTCATTTCTTTATTTTATAGAAGGAAATCGTTGCGAGCAGCCAATGTCAAGCGGTACTGGTAATGAAGCATTGCGGCGATGGTATTACAACACGCAGAAAGGCATCTGTGAAATGTTTATGTATAATGGATTGCATGGCAATGCAAATAATTTTTTAACCAAAGAGAATTGTGAAATTGCCTGCAAAATAAATCCCTGTTCTGATGGTCTGATCATAAATCTATCAAATTAGATTTAAATAAATAAAATTGAATTTAAGTCTAATTTAATAGAAAGTTTTCAACTTCCGCTTTAAATTCGATTTAAATCTCAATCTTAATTAAATTTTAATTTTCAAAACTGAGCCATTAGAAAACTTTTAAAAATGCTAAAGATCAGAAGCCTAGATCTACTTTACCTTCTAGGTCAACCATTTATCACTTCAAATGGTATTTATCAAACGTGTGTTGCATCATCATTACACATAAACAGTTGTCCTAATGGCTATTGGTGTAACCCTGGCAGTAATTCACTTACAACAATTTGTTGTCCTGGAGGTAATTTCTTTTAACAAATGTATTAAATTTTATTTAGTATCAAATTTTCTGGTGAAAGGAATAGCATTCCATATTTATTACCAAGAAAATGAATGAAGCGCAATTGCCATGCAGTTAACATGAATTTTACAATTTCAGCGGTTAATGATCCATGTAATTTGCCTATGATAACAGGCGAAGGAAATGAAGAATTAGAACGTTACTATTACGATCCAATGACAGGAACATGTCGAGTTTTTATATATCAAGGTATGAAAGGGAATCAGAATAATTTCCTATCACAGGTAAGAGATTCTCCTTTTCTGAATTCTGTAATTGTTATCATTTCTTGGAAAAAGAAGATTTTTCTTACGATACAAGGTGTAATTTTAAAATTAGAAGCTAAATCATAATACTGCATATGTGGTTTCATTGAAATTAGATTTGAATAGTCAAGATTAAGAATCACATACTACTTACTGAATAAACCTTAGATTACGAACTATAATTTAATCTATCAAATTAATTGATTAATCAATGCTGACACTCTGCATATCCATTCAAGTATTTATTGATATTATGTGTTGAAAAAAGGAATTCAAATACCTACTTGAAGAAATTCAGTTGCTATCAATATATCAAACAGAATTAATTAAATTTTTGAGTTAAATAATATTCCGTAAAGTGAGACGTCTTCCGACATACTTTCGCATATTCATTCAAGTGACATGAATGAAAGTACTTAAGTAAATTTACATAATTACTTGTAAATTGTCAACCGCACTTGTTGTGCTTTTGTTCTTACTAATTTTTACAGAGGATAACTTCTGAATAAATGGCGACATCTTGCAGAGAATTAACTAAAAATTTAATCTGATATTTGTTGTACTTGTAGATAGCCTGTCAACTACGATGTCGTCCATCGGAAAATCCATGTATTGGACAACCAGCAACAAATACTGCAGGACAAATACTTTTTTGTTCAGCAATCAACAAAGAAGTATGTCCAGTAAATTTCTGGTGTCATGTTGGTGCAACACCGGAAACAACCGTCTGCTGTCCTGGAGGTAACTGAAGAGTTTCAATATAAGACATTTCTGTTAATTTAAAAATAATAAATTTGCTAGTACAGTAAAACATGGTTCCTTTCTATGAAACTATTCATTGTGAAACTTTGATTTGCATTCCATAGAGAATGATGACTGTTTTTAGCAACAAACCCATGTTCGGTACCACTTTCACCAGGTTCCGGTAATGCGAATCTATCGCGATGGTACTATAGTTCCAATAATCGTGAATGTTTACCTTTTCAATACAATGGTATACGTGGTAATCAAAATAATTTCTTATCGCAAACGCAATGCTCGAGAACTTGTCCAGGTTAACTTTTACATTTGTCAAAACACTTTTTTTATCACTGTTAAATCCAGTCATATTGATTACAATCCAAATAATTATCAGTGTATGAAATAATTAATCCTTTAAAGTTAGTCAATATTGCTTTACAAATTGCTCATTAATGTGAAAATAAGAATGCATGACTATTTTTCAATATGAAAAATATTTTCTTGATTGAATTATTTTGTTTTCACTTATTTGAGATTATTTTTCCACAGCGTTACACTCTCCGTTAACTTTTTTTGCTATGCAATGCGCGGCTAACTAACACAAAAGGTTTGCACTTACGAATTGCATGCCATAATTTTTTTGGAATTTCTCGTGCATTTTTCTACTAAATAATTGCTTTTATTATCAGAAATGCACACATACATATACACACACACACACACACACACACA